CGTCCCCTTCCCTTTTCTTGCCTCTGCCATCCTTGGAGGTTGGTTTCCTGCTCTTAATTATGTCCCTAAAATCACTTTTCCTTTTTAAGCCGCTCAGATTTTCTCTCTCCCCTATCTTTTATTCCTCCCTGTTCCATCCCTAACTTTTCGGGGCTCTGAGCAGTGGGCACATGTCTGCTTTTCCCTAAGTCACAGGAATTTTTCTCTTTTAGCCTCACCATTCATCGCCTTGCTGCCAAATCCTTTATCCAGACCAAGGACATGGGCTACAGCGAGACTCCAGCAAATGATAAAAAAGATGTGTTGAAAGTAAGCCTTGAGTGTGGAGTCATAAGCTCCCACACAGCTTTCATTGCCATCAACAAGGATCTCAACAAGCCGGTTCAGGGACCTCTGGTTCGTAGTGACGTTCCAAGGCCAATGCTATGTGGGATGAGGATGTCTTCTCCTCCTGCTGGGATGTCAATGTTTTTTCCCTATTCTGCTGCGATGCCAGCACCACCGATTCTACGGTCCTGTGGAGGTGGTGAGTTTTATTCTAATCAAATTCATACAAAATAGGGAACCCTGGATATCTAGATACATCATTTAAAGTAAATGTTTTTCCCCTTGTCTCTCATATCTAGGATTTCTGACTGGTGTAAAACTTTTTTGTACTAGAAAACTAGAAAATATCCCATTAGCAAGAAAATTTAAAGTACCCCAAGGGAAAAAAATGAGGAAAATTAAATAGAAAGTACACATAAACACTGAATAGTTACTGCCTAAATCTGAAGCTGAATTACCTTATTGATAATAGTTAATGATTATACAAATGGCTGATGAACAGCCTAGTAGTGTTAGGAAATGGGTGCTGATGGCAGGGACTGTCTCGGACATAAGCCAAGCAAGCTTAGTTATAGATACTGGGGACTTGGGGATTAGGATCAGGTGGAGAAATGCCCTGGGCAGGTTTCTGTACTGGAGAGGAATGCATGATGTTATTTGTGGAGGCAGGCTTCAAGGTGAGCCCAGGTTTTTGGTTGGGCCACTGGGTGAATGATGATACCATTTATTTAACAGAGTAATGAAAGAACAGCAATAAGTTTAGGGGGTAAAGTGTTGACTTATTTTTTAGCATTTTGAATTTGACATCCCTATGGGCTATCCACATGAAGATATCCAATAGAAAAGGAGACAGATCTAATGTTCAGAGGAGAGGTCAAGGTTGAAGATATACATTAGGCAATATTCAGAATCTAGGTAATGACTAAAGTCATTAGAATGGATGAGATTATTCAGAGGGCAGGTATAAAATGAGATGAAAAGAGGGATACAGTTGAAACAATGAAGAATATCAAGTATCTAGGGGTGGATGCCCCAAACCATAATAAAAAGGACTGAAGCAGGAGAAAAGAAATGACTGCATGTTCAAAACAAAAGGAAACTATAATCTAGCAAAGGGAGTTGTCAAAGTATCAGATACTGCAGAGAAGTCAAAATAAAATGAAATGGTCTATTGTGTTAACATCAAAGGAAGCCTTGCTAATCTCATCAAGAACAGTTTTATTAGCTTAGGTCAGGAAATCTATATTTAGAGAGCACATGAGAGGTGGGAAATGAGGGGCAGCTTGTCTATATACTTTTTTATAAATGTTGAAAGGAAAGAATAGAGAGGGATATCTATAGAAGAAATTACAGAGCTGAGGTAAGTGTGCGTGTATGTGTAGATGTGTGTGTTATATCTCTTCAAGATTTCAGAATGGGAGGGATTTGAGAATGTTCTAATGCTAACAGGAAAGTGCCACTGGAGAGGGGTGACAGTACTGGGTGTGGGGAGGGTAGCTAACTGAGAAGGGTGTTTGAGGAAGTGAGGGGGATGAGATCTAGAATAGCAGAGGAGGGATTAGCCTTTAACAGGACAAGGGTTGGGCACTCTCCCCCTATTGCCAGGAAGTGGAGGAAACCCTAGAATTAGGTTTTAGTTCATAGGTTGAGAGGCAAGCTTTTGGAGTTTCTGTCTGAGAGTTTAATGTTGTTTTAGTGAAAGACACAGCAAGATTAGCTAATGACTATGTGCCTATAGTTGTACAACGGAAAATTTGATGAAAGGGTTTGAAATGTGTCTGTGGAAAACTGGAGAGTGAAATGCTCAGGGAGAAACCGAGCATTTGTCCAGGAACGTTAAGAGTCCAGTTTAGTTTTGATACGCTGGCATTTAGTGCCACCAAACTACTAAATGGAATCAGTTTATTTGATTCAGGTCAGCAGCATTCAGCAGCTTTGGTATAAGAATGAATGAAGAAAGTTGAGTGTTGGCTTCCTTTTCAGGTTGGGGTTTTGCCAGACAGATGTGATAAAAAGGAAATTAGCAACATGGAATTGAAGATATTGATAAAAAGAATTTTAAAGTGTTGGACCTGAGATTTAGGCTAAATGGAAAAAAGAGTAAAGATGGAAGGAAATTTTTATAAAAAACAGAGGACACAAAGACTTAGAGGTCCAGATGTAGGCCAGGTAAAATAAGAATCTGAGTTAGAATGCTGGAAAAGTTGAATATTGTATTTTATTTCTTAATTTTAAAATTATTTATTTATTTATTTTTATTGTTGACACTATTACAGATGTCCCCCACTTTCCCTCCTTTTGTCCCACTCCACTTAGCCATGGCCCCCCAGGCCTTGGCCACATTATTGTCTGTCTCTATGGGCTGTGCATATATGCATATATGTTCTTTGGTTAATCTCTTCCAAATGCCCCACACCCCACCCCTCTGAGATCTGTCAGTCTGTTCCATGTATCCATGCCACTGGTCCTATTTTGTTCATCAGTTTATTTTTATTTTTCAATTAAAGTTCACATACATTATTATATTAGTTTCAGGTGTAAACCCCAGTGATTAGATATGTTACTTTCAGGTGTAAACCCCAGTGCTCAGATATTATGTAACTTACTAAGCGATCAGCCCAACGAATCGCGCACCCATCTGACCTATACATAGTTATTAGAATATTATTGACTATTTCCCCTATGCTGTACTTTACATCTGCATAACTGTTCTGTAACAACCAATTTGTACTTCTTAATCCCTTTATCTTTTTCTCCCATCTCCCTAACCCCCCTCCCATCTGGCAACCTTAAAAATGTTCTCTGTATCTATAACTCTGTTTCTGTTCTGCTTGTTCATTTATTTTGTTTTTTAGATTCAATTATTGATAGATATGTATTTATTGCCATTTTATTGTTCATATTTTTATCTTTTTTTCATCTTCTTAAAGAAGACCCTTCAACATTTCGTGTAATACTGGTTTGGTGGTGATTAACTCCTTTAGCTTTTTCTTGTCTGTGAAGCTCTCTATCTGTCCTTTGATTTCAAATGATAGCTTTGCTGGGTAGAGTAATCTTGGTTGTAGGTCCTTGCTTTTCATCACTTTGAATATTTTATGCCACTCCCTTCTGGCCTGCAGAGTTTCTGTTGAGAAATCAGCTGGCAGTCTTATGGGTGCTCCTTTGTAGGTAATTAATTATTTTTCTCTTGCTGCTCTTTAGATTCTCTCTTTGCATTTAACCTTTTGCATTTTAATTGTGATGTGTCTTGGTGTGGGCCTCTTTGCATTCCTCTTGTTTGGGACTCTCTGCGCTTCCTGGGCTTATATGTCATTTTCCTTCACCAGGTTAGGGAAGGTTTCTGTCATTTTTTCAAATAGGTTTTCAATTCCTTGCTCCCTCTCTTCTCCTTCTGCACACCCATGATGTGAATGTTGGTACTCTTGAAGTCCCAGAGGCTCCTTAAACTATCCTCATTTTTTTGGATTCTTTTTTATTTTTGCTATTCTGATTGGGTGCTTTTTGTTTCTTATCTTCCAAATCACTGATGTGATTCTCAGTTTCATCTGCTCCACTGTTGATCCCCTGTAAATTATTCCTCATTTTGTTAGTGTCTCCTTCATTTCTTAGTGGTCCTTTTTTATGCTGTTGATGTTCCCACTAAGTTCACTGAGCATCCTTATAACCAGTGTTTTGAACTCTGCATCTGGTAGATTGTTGTCTCCATTTCATTTAGTTCTTTTTCTGGAGTTTTGTTCTGTTCTTTCATTTGGGACAGGTTTCTTTGTCTCCTCATTTTGGCTCTCTTCCTATGTTTGTTTCTATGTATTAGGTAGAGATGCTATGTCTCCCAGGCTTGATAGAGTGGCCTTATGTAGTAGGTGTTCTGTAGGGTCCAGTGGCAAGCCTTCCCCATCCCCCAAGCTTGACTCATGGGGTGAGCCCCCAGTGTGGGCTGTATACACCCTCCTATTGTAGTTGAGCTTTGATTACTGTTGGCTTGTCAATGGGAGGGATTTACCCCCAGGCTGATCAGCTGCTAGGACTGACTGGGACCACCATGGAGGATTAGCTGTGTAGGAGCCCACCACACAGAACAGGACTCACTTCAACGGGGCTCTGGTGTCTGCTGAGTCTGCCCCTTGAGTGTGTTGCTTGTGGAGGTGGTTGGGTGGTGATGCTTTGATGTGATCTGAAGCTCTCCACTGGGTGCACTGGCTCTGGGGCCTCCTGGGAGGTTCAGGCCAAGGTCAGCTGCTACCTTTGTTCTGCCCTGGGGCTACCCAGCATGAACTACAAAGCAATGTGCAGATGGCTGTTAACTTGTGCTGGGCTTGGAGGTGCTCAGGTGAGGCTAAGCTGCAAACCAAGGCCTGCTGCTAGTGCTGGGCCTGGGGACACTTAGTGAGAGGTACTGGGCATCCTGAGGCTACATGATGCTTGTTTGAAAGATTTTAGAAAAATCTGAAGCATGAGCCAAGACAGGCCATTCCTGTGGTAAAGCCACTGGAAACAGCTTGTGTGGACCTGGAAGTTGGGTGAGGCGGGGCCCCAGGGAATCACCAGGGTGGGACTAGCAGTGTTAATCCAGGTTGATGGGAGACTCAGATAGGGTGCTCACCTTCTGGGTCTGTGTGAGGAGGGCTCAGAAAAGAAATAATGGCCTCTGCCAGCACTTCTGCTTGGGACAAAACTGCCTCTCCAGTTCTTGCTCTCATGGCCAACAATTCAGTTCCCCCCCGTATGCCTCTTGCCTTTCAAGCTGCTGCCCCAGTGCTGGAGCTCAGAGGAATGAGTCTGAGCTAGTCCATGTGAGCCCTTTAAGCAGAGCACCTGGGACTCCAGCTGCCTCTGTCTCCCTCAACCTCATTCCAACCTGGTTTTTATAAGCAGAAGTTATGGGGACTCTTCTTCCCAGAACTGGAACCCTGGGCTGGGGGGCTTGGTGTGGGGCTGGGACTCCTTGCTCCTTTGGGGGGACCTCTGTAGCTGAGATATCCCTCCTAGTTTTTATCTGCCACACACAGGTGTGGCACCAGTTTGTTTGCATCTCCACCCCTCCTACTGGTCCCCGTGTGGCTTCTTCTTTAATTAATTACCTAGTTGTAGGACCTCTGTTCACCTAGATTTCAGGTGGTTCTGAATGGTGGTTGTTCTGCAGTTTAGTTGTAATTTTGATGTGGTTGTGGGAGAAGGCAAGTATACCACATTTATTTACACCCCTATCTTGACTGGAAATTTCTGGATATTGTATTTTAAAAGTAGATTTTTTTTTTCAAATAATTTTTTACAGGTGGAACAATTCTGCTTGATAACCAGATCCTGGCTTGGGAGGGAGTGGCTGGAGTAGAATGCAGGCTGAAGCCATTTTATTTGAGGAAGACAAGAAGCTTTGAATTAGGGTGTTGGATAGGTTATCTACGTGGGTACTTAATCTCTTAAGATGTTGGCAGGCTTTGACAAAGTGAAATGAAGTGAAAGTCTTTGATCTAGTTTTCAGATACTTCAGTGACTGATGAAAAGTGACAAAGAGATTGGAGGTTGTCAGCAGTGAGGATATGAGGAAGGTAATCCAGGTGAAGGTGAAGAGTAATGACATGGATGTGGCAATTGGGACTGAAGAGGTTTCCAGCCCCACCTACCTCACCTCTCAAACCTGGATGGTTGGGCTTTGGTACCTGCAGCAACCACCATTTGGGAAGGATAGAGGGAGAAAAGATTTTTAGGAGGAAAAATTAGTTTTAAGTTAAGATAAGCAGTTGGAGGAAGCCTCCTATAATGAAACTAGAGATGCAGAAAAGATCGTTGTCATGTATCGAGAGGACACAGTTGGAGGGGCTCAGAGGATGCAGGTGTGTGCAGGATTTGGGCTCATGGAGAAAAAATGCACAGTAAAGGTGACTGAGGTGGACATGGATAGGAGCATATATCTCAAAGTATCAGGGCCCTTTGCCTACAGCAGAGAGCATAGGGTGGCTCCGTGTCAATGTCTATATTACTGTTTTTCAGCTTATACAAAGGCCTATTCTCCTACCATCCTCCTGCATCTCGGCCCGAATCCTACTGGAGCATGTCATGCCAGGAGAATGGTTACAGTCCCCATAGGTTCACAATTAACAAGAGCCTGTATTCTCCAGGTGAGCATCTTTCTAGGGATATTTTCTCACCAATGTTTGTCTGTCACACATATAGGACTGAAAAAATTCCTACGTCTTCATAAACCAAAGAAACTCTCGTCTCCCCAAGTACCCGCTTCTGCCATGGCTGCTTCTTCCATTGTGACCTTGGAAGCCGCCTACACAGGTGAGATGGCCCTTGGTTCTCTTTTCTGATCTGTGGGAGCAGAAGAACTAATCTTCAGCGCTCTGCTACCTTGTGGCTCTCCCTACCTAGGGGGCAACCTGTTTGAAAAGCTTTGGTCAGAGGGTAAGATTTGTCCAGTCCCTATTTGGCAGGCTCAGCCCAGCTTCAGTAGTCTGTAATATAGGACACCGAAGCCTGTCCCAGTGGAGTTTACGAGCCCCTTTGCCATCTCAGCTCACACACCTTGCCTGCCGGCTGGGGCCCTCCTCTTGCAGAACCCACTTGCCACCCTGTTTGGTTCCCAGCTGCCTTAATCATTCTTTTACAAATTGGGTTTGAAGACAGATCTTTTTAATGCTGTCTGATGACTTTCTGTCACCAGAAGGTATCCCTTGGTCATTTCATTGCTTTGTATTCCATGCAGCTGGGCTTCTGATGTACATGACAAATTAAGTCAAAGTAAGTTTTACCACTGAGGGGTGCCTATTCAAACTAAAATAGGCTGAAAGGCAACTTCTTTCTAGTCTCTCCAATTTTTGTAGCAGGGTTTATGGTGTCTATAGTTTAGTTTCGATATCTTTGCCACTTTCCATTTATTCATTCTTCTTAGGCTGCTAATCAAGAAAGGACTTCGAGGTCTAAGGTGGATTCAGGTCTCTGTCCTACCAATTACTGTGGGGTTTTAAGAAAATCAATTAACTTTTTAGAGCCTTAGTTTCCTCAGCTATACTGTCATTCACCTCCTAGGGCTGTCATGAGAACTTAATGTTATCCATGGAGTAGGTTCTCAGTTTGTGTTGGTTTCTGTGCTGTCCTAAAACCCAGTAACTTGGAATATCCCCACTCTAGCTTCCTCTCTATGGAGCCTCTTACTAACGTAGAAAGAAAAAGTACCCAGCAATGTTCTGCTGGTTTTTGTGAATTAGTTGGCAACTACTAATAGGGAACCATTAGTAGAGAACCATTTATGTGCTTTCTAGGCCCTTTACCTTTTCTCTCATGCATCAGGCATTATTGTCTCTGGTTTACAGAGAAGGCTGAGATTTCTGTAGATTAAATAACTATTAGATTTTGAGTGTAGGCAAAGCTGAAATTCAAACTTAGACTTTTGAAATTCAGAGCCTTAGATTTTTTTTTCTCCATTAGAGTAGAACTGTTTTTCTTGCCTACTAATTTCCAGGTTCTTCTAAGTATATCATCCCATATGATAGATAGCCAGATATGAGATACTTTCTATGAAAATTCTGTGGTCTTTAAGCAATTTTTGTACCACCAGGATTAGACACTATACTACTCTTTTTAAAAAAAAAAAATGTTTTTATTGATTTTTAGAGACAGAGGAAGAGACACAGAGAGACACACCGTTCGGCTCTTCCCTACGTGCCGCCAACTGTGGATTGAGCCCACAACCAGGTATATGCCCTGACCAGGAATCAAACCTGCAACCTCTCAGTGCATGGTATGGTGCTCAACCCACCCAGCCACACCATCCAGGGCTAGACTACTCTTTGAGGTAGACTGTTAACTGCTTCCTTTATTTATATCTTCCTTCTTTTGAATTTTTTGATAATTAAAATTTAAGCTATATTTGTCTAGAACTTTTTAATATACCTAAAGTTTTAAGGGTCATTTAAACAGGACTGGATAAGACTTTACACAGGACTATAATGTGGGTTCTTTAATACTCCATATCTTCCTCTTGTTCCTTAATTTAAAAAAAAAATATCTTTATTGATTTCAGAGAAAGGAAGGGAAAGAGAGAGAGAAACATCAATGATGAGAGAGTCATCAATTGGCTGCCTCCTCCACGCCCCCCGCTGGAGATCGAGCCCACAACCTGGGCATGTGCCCTGACCGGGAATCGAACCGCGATCTCCTGATTCATAGTCCAGTTGCTCAACCACTCAGCCATGCCAGCCAGGCTTGTTTCTGAATTTTTAAGTGCATCTGTCCTAGTGGCAGTACAACACTGGGATGGCCTACATTGTCTCAGAGAAAATTCATGTCTCCCAGGGGAAGCACTGAAATAGGGAACTTGGTAGGTTCTGCTTAGCTGTGTACTCCTGCTATATAGCCTGTCTCTGAATTTAGACCTCTCTCGCTCAAGTATGGCAATGGGCCAGAAGCTTTGTAATTTTTCGTCTTCTTTTTTTCTCCTCCAAAATCTTTGAAGATGATCATCTTGTACAGCTGATTTCCCTCCAAAAGGCAGACGGTTCCTGGGATCTGAATGAAGGTCTGGCCATGGTTCTAGGTGTGAGTTTGGATGATATACTGGCTGCACTCCCTATCAAGGTGAGACTCAGAGAAGAAAAAGGTGTATATTTTTGAGAGGTTGGGGTCAGTAGAGAGAATTGGGGTGAATCATGACTCACTGAGGAAGGAGAATATAGGAGGTCATAGACTAAATAAGTTTCTAATAAGTAGAGGTTGAAGGTTTTTCCCGAGTAGGTTAGAACACAAGGTACAGGGAACTAATGGTCTAGCTAGTAGGAGTTGATAGATGACAAAGGGCAAGCTAAGATTCTCTTTTAATCTAATTCTCTGCCAACCATCTTAGTTATAGTAACAACTGTTCATTAAGCAATTATTGTGCCACACACTTGGCTAAGCACTTAACATTCATGATCTTATTTATTCATCACAATTAAGAAGGGTAAGTCCTGTTTACAGTGCTGTTTATAGAAGAAGAAACTGAAACCCAGAGCAATATAGTAATGTGTCTAAATTTACCTAACTAGTTAGTGGCAGAGTTGGGTTCAGTTCTAGGACTGACTACCTTTAGAACCCACCTTGTTGCTTGGCTTCCTAATAAGGAAGCTCTCCCGAAATGAGCAAGTCAAAGTTAGGGAATGTGACATGTAAACAGGGATGACCTATCTCAAATGTGCTCAAGTCTGCTGATGAGGGCAAATTACCCTCCAGAATTTCAAGGTAGCTTACTAAATCTCCTAACTGAGATATTGTTAAATATAAGACAAATGCCAAAAGCCTGAAGGACAGTATCATTTTGAATTTACAAAATGTGGAAGGTGATTAAATAAACTTCAGATATCCTGTAACTACAACAACCAATACAGTATCTACTAGTCAGATGTGGCTATTAAGCTCTTAAAATATGGCTAATTATAATGAGGGAATTTTTAATTGAATTGAGATGAGCTATAATTGTGAAATATATTCTGACTTTAAAGACTTAATATAAAAAGAATGTAAAATAGTTCCTTAATAATTAATATATTAAAATGATATTTTAAATAGGTTAAATAAAATGTATTATTAATAAAATATCTGTACCTTTTTATTTTTACATTTTTCATATGGCTACTAGCCACATGAAATTTAAATATGCTTAAATTTATATGGTGTCTAGCAATATATTTCTATTGAAAAATGCTGTTCTAAAACAGGTAATTACAAGGATAATTTATAAACAATTTATTAATTTGATTAATAAATATAATGAATATATAAATAATTAAAAGAAGATATTAAGGATCATGAAGTTCTAACTTGGTTTCATTGAGAACAAGACATGTTAGACTAACATTTTCTTCTTTGACATGTTTACTTGGCCAATAAATCGAGGGAACAAAGAGCCCTGGTGTATCTTAATTTCAGTAAGGAATGTGAATTTTTCTTAATGACTAGTATGGGGGCTGATTACAAACTAGTTGAAAACCCATAGTATTAAATAATGAATTTATTCAAACTTGAAACAGGTATTCAGACCCACTAGGCTCTGATTCTCTGCAGGTCCATATTTTCAATGAATGTTTAGGTGAAGATGTAGACCAATACTTTCCTATTTGTATATGACAAAACTGGGAGATGGTGTATTAGACAAGAAAATCAGGATCCCAAAAGACCTGAACGATGACTTCAATTAAAAACAAAAATTAGCTGGAAAAAACATACTGTTTTTCATTCTAAATTCTCAACTATACAGGTAGAAAATAGAAGCAAAATGACTTAAGAGCAGTCGCACATGAGAATTAGAGATTTTAGAGGACCACAAACTCAGCATCAATCAGCATATTTGAAATATGATTAGTTGAGGGCAATAGGATTGTCAGAAAAGCTGTACGTATTATATAATTTGGGGCTGGAGTCATAGAATTTTATAAGTCCATTTACCGCTAGACATGGCCGTTTAAAGTGATATATTTTAGAAATCACTGTTTCTAGACTAGGGCAACAAACACGGGGATTCTTACGGCTGTGACATAATCCCCTTAAGGGAGAATTAGAGGAACTGAGAATTTTGGTCTGGAACAGGACTACTCAGAGGGCATGAGAGCTGTTTCCAAATGTTAATGGTCATGATATACAAGAAGAATCTCTTTTGATCTGCTATCTCTAAAAACTGGAATTGGGAGCCATGGGTGAAAACTCATGGGAGCCCGTTTTGTTTTCTGTACTATGGATGACTTTCTGTGAGCGCTGTGAGCAGTATGACTTCGGTCAGAAGGTTTGGTCTCCAGTCCCAGCTCCATCAGGTGCTAGAGGACTAACTTGGGACAAATTATTTCAGTTTCCTCTCTTAAAAATGTGGTTTTTGATAATTCCTCATTTGCCTTTTGTTTGTTTTGGTGAGGGTTCAAATAAAAACACACATGAAGATGCTCTAGAAAATGTAAAGCAACTGTACATGCGTTAGTTTTTGCTGTTGTTTTATCACAGCTGGCTAACCCATGTTGGGGGTGTTTTAGGTCTTTCAGGCACTGTCCTGATGGTTACACTGCATTTAAAATTTAAGACCTTTCTACCTAGAGACTCAACGTATTGTTGCCCTGAGGTTTAGGGCCTGGCATTATGCCTTGCAAGTCATAAATGAGATTAAGAGAGACCAGGTAATCTCATTCAGTCGCAGTTTGGCCCGTGGTAGGTGAGGAGGGAGTGGAGGCTTCAGGAAAGTCTGTCTGTTGCAGAGTGTGGATTCCTCGGGCTGGGCCACAGTCCTGGCGGTGCTCTGGCTGCATGACAGCTGTAAGGACATGAAATGTGAGTGGGAGCTTCTGGAAAGGAAAGCGGTGGCCTGGATTCACACCCATGCAGGTAGGAGCGCTTCCTAAGACCCCCATCTCCTTCCCTCCTTGGGAAGCTCAGCATCTTCCCAGACACTGAGCCTCCAGGCCTGAGAGGGGGACCAAGAGACCCTGTTGTCTTCCCCTGACCATCCTGGTCCAGACCTTTTCCGGTCTCCCAGCTAGTTCTTTCCTTGCAGGATGAGGGTGCAGTCTTAAATTGGGGGAGATGGGGCATGGGCGGGGGTGTGAACTGTGAAGGGACATGGAATGGCATTTATTCTACTCACTGTGTCAGTACTGTACTGAGTGTGAGACTGCACTTCGCATTTATTATCTCACTGCTGAATGTTTCTGGGGCCAGAGAAGAGTACAGGGAACCTGAGCAATGTGAAGAGAAAAGTCAGGGGTATTGAAAAAAAGATAAAAGCAGGATTCAGGGGAGATGATCGGGGAGGTTTAGAGGAGAATTGACTCACATTGTTGTCTCAGCCCTGACTTTTGTTCTCTCCTCCTAACAGGCCCTGACGTGCATGTGCTTGCAAAAGCTGCTATAGATTTCCTGAAGGCATCTGTTGATCCTGCTATCTTTGCCCCCTGAGGATACCTGCCGGAACCCCAAGTGCCTCTTTCATGCTCTGGCCTCCTTTTCCCTTCCCTCTGATGGAATGTGTTTTTGTGCTCTGCACCTACCCTGTCAGTTTCTTGTCATAAAAGTAGAGGATGCCCACCCCACCCTGCCTCGGTGTTCCAGGTTCCCTGTGGGTATGAGTTCCTTCCCCCAGCCTGTGCCCTCAGCCTGTGCCCTCAGCCCAGCGTCATGGTCCCAGAACCTTTCCCTTCCTGGGAGGAGTTCAAAAGCAGTAAGTTCCCTCCCAGGTTTTTCAAAGTGAAAACATGAAAAACAAGTGACCCGGACTCCAGACTAAAGGTTGCAGCACTGATGTTAGGGGATGCCTGAACTCTTTGCATTATTTTTGCATTATTTTTGTCTGTTCACTATTGCTTTGCATTATTTTTGTGTGTTCACTATTGCTTTTATGTACTTATGAGGACACACTGGTGAGCTATACAGTTTTCAATTCTTAGATAGGATGAAGAGTTGGAGGGGAGTTTGAAAGCCAACATTGGGCTCAATATAACCTCAAGGTGACAAAGAGAAATACTCAGGAGTCCACTGTGAGAATGGGCACTGTTGGGGACCTTGGTTGATTCTGCTTGGGTTTTGCTGGCCTGTATTGCATGCCTTCCCTCACACTGCCTAAGGGTTGAGTTGTGCCTGTTGGAAACAGATGTTTCTCCTCAGTCAGGATACATCTTAGTAAGAGGGCAGTAATGGAACCCTTACCTACCTAGCCTGAACCCTCAAGGCCTCTGATCTAGTAGACTAAGAGAAANTGTTTCTTCTCAGTCAGGACACATCTTAGTAAGAGGGCAGTAATGGAACCCTTACCTACCTAGCCTGAACNGATGTTTCTCCTCAGTCAGGATACATCTTAGTAAGAGGGCAGTAATGGAACCCTTACCTACCTAGCCTGAACCCTCAAGGCCTCTGATCTAGTAGACTAAGAGAAAGGCACGCTTAAAGGCAGCTTGGCCTGAGACCTGAAACCTGGGTCACTCACCCCAAGAGAAAGAAGGGAGCTCCCCATGATCATTCTGACCTTTGTGTCCCTCACATTCTATCCTAGTGGAAATGACCCTATTTGATGTGTTCCCTAAAATACTGCTGTATCGATATGAAAATGACACTTTGCTGTATCTGATCTCTTGTAGATTCAATTTAGTCATTGAATCTGAATTGGTTTTCTTATGTTTTTTTCTTCTTTGTAAAATATTCTTTCAGTAAACTAAAGAAAAATTATCAAAGAAGCATACCCTTGGGTGAAAACTCAGTTTAGACTAAAAGATTGAGAAGTTAATTTTACATATTAAATAAAACCATTTATTGATACTAATTTTATAATAATTGTGATTTTTGAATCCAAATCGCCTCCTTCTTATGATATCTGAAGATTTAACACCCCCTTCAACTTTCTTCCCCGTCATCCAAAACAGTTATGTCACAATTTCAGATAAATCAGTAGTCAGTGTTTATGTCATTATGACGATTTAAGTAACAATCCCTGAAGAGCTGGATGTACTATAATAATATCTCCTTTATGGTACAGTTTTTGGTTTTCCTGAGTTGGTCATCACCTTAGGTTTCTCTGTGTGCCTAACTTTCCTCCTACATTGTGATTTTCTTTCAGATGCTTCATCACTGTAATCATTTCCCTGCTGTAACCTAAGTCTGTCATACAACTGCCGTCTTGTTTGTGTTCTAGACCTTCTAGGTTAAATCTGCAATTTCCTGCATCCCATTTTCCCCTCTGTCTTAGCTTATGCCTCCATTTTCTCTATAACATCTGATATCATCCTAAGAAAAAGAACATGGGAAGTGAATTTTTTATCTTTTTGCATTTTTTGAATTGCCTGTAATTTGGCTGGTGTGAATCTTTCCTGCGACTGTTGTGGGCATGCTTCCGTGTCCTGCGGCCTCCTGCATTGCCACCGGGAAGCCTGAGCCATTCGAGCTCTCAGTGTTCTTTCTGGGAGCTTTGCTCCTCCCTGTGATCTGAAATGCCATGGTGCCATGGTGCCATGCCTCGGCGTGTGCCTGTATTTATTTTTGCTTAGGGTATTTGAAAGAATTTGAGGTGTTCAGTGACGGCAAATTTTACATTGGGTAACTTTCCCTTATTTTCTTTGTTATCTGGAATTTCTGTTAGGCAAATGTTAAACCTCTTCTGATGATCTTGTAAGTTTGTGTTTATATTTAAATTCTAGTTTTGGGAAAGATTTATTTGAATCTTTTTTTTTTTTAAAGATTTTAAAAATTGAGTTAGAGGAACGGAGAGGGAAAGAGAGAGAGAAACATCTATGTGAGGGTGAAACATCAACCGGCTGCCTACTGCGCGGCCCTGCTGGGGATCGAGCCTGCAACCCGGGCACGTGCCCTGACCGGGAGTTCAACCAGCGGCCTTCGGTGCCTGGGATGATCACCAACCAGCTGAGCCACACTGGCCAGGGCTTTACTAATCATTTTATTGAATGTTTATTTTAGCTTTCAGTTTTCAGTTTATACCCAAGAGTTCTTTGTTTTCTAATTTATTCTTTTTCATGTCATTTTGTGCTCATTCTATAGATGTCATCTCCAATTATATCACTCAGAATGTGAATTAGAGTTTTTGTTTTTTTATACTCACCCAAGAATGTGTCTGCTAATTTTAGAGAGAGAGGAAGGGAGAGAAAGAGAGAGAGAAAGAGAAACATCGATGGATTGCCTCCCCCACACACCCCAACCCGGGATCAATCCCACAACCCAGGTATGTGCCCTGACCAGACTCAAACCCGCAACCTTTTGGTGTACAGGACGATGCTCCAGGCCAGGGCTAGACTTTTATTTTTTTGAAAAGGTTTCTTCTGTTCCCTTTATTACCTGGGATTCCCCGTACCTTTCCCTGTACATTTGGTTTTCCCTTTTTCATGTTGAGTTTCTTGTACAATAATAAATAAATGAATAAATGTAGCTCTTGTAAACAAATTTCAATTAACAAAATTATGAGCAAGCAGGTCCCGTTGTCAGAAGAGTAAAATATTTTACCCTGAATTTTTTGACAATCTGAACAATATTAGCAATTAGTATGATCATTCAAATATGGAGCTCATAGTTAGTTTAAAACTTTGAATTATATTTGGGAGATATTGATTGTTTTAAGAAGGAAGAACACAACAACAGTTCACACTGTGAAGGCCAAAAATAAGTTATTAATGCTAAATACTTTTAAAGGACTTGAATGCTATCCCCTTTCTTCCTTTCTTATTTTTTTGATGTAGCAAAGATTTACAAATGGACTAACTTTCCTTAATTTCAGAGGTACACTCATAGAACTTATTTACGTAACTTTTCTAGCATGCCCGTCCTCAAAGTCAAGCACAGTCCGGGTGCAGGCAGTGCCAGCCCGCATGTCCGTGCCCTGAAGGTGGGCACCCAGCAGTGCCCAGCACACAGGACGGGCTGTTCTGGTCGCTCGCTTTCGATGGGCCTGGATTTCAGTTATCAGGCGCCGTCAAATTCAAGCAGTTTCTCAGCAACACTTCACAATTCAGTCACCAAGGGCTGCTACCCGTGAGAACTTGCATAGCCCTCGGTCCCCAGGTCACTTCATAAGTAAGAGATGCGCCGAGATCTGCAAGCCGGCCGGGGCCGGCCCCTGCCCGTGTGTAGCTGGGCCGCCCCCTTCCACCGGGCAGCCGGCCCTCACGGCATCTTGCGGAGGGAGGCAGAGGAAACAGAAACTCCGCTGATGAAGAGGAAGGTGCAGCCAAGAAATGCAAGTGAAAAGGCTGGAAGCAAATTCTGAAAATCATGCAGATGGAGTGAGGTCCGCTGAAGGCCTGTGGCACTGCTGCCCTCGAGGGTCACTGCGCAGCCAGGGGCCTGGGGACGCGAGGAGAGGGGCCGGGAAGGCGTCCCAGAAACTGTGACGCCGGAAAAAACCCCCACGTGAAGGGGCTCTTTGAGATGTTTTGTGGAAGTGATCAAATGTCCCAAGCAAACAGAAACTTGGGAAGGAGTGGGATGATCTGCTGAGGCGTCGAAGCAATGCCCGCTCCGTCTCGCACGGAAAAAAAGGCAGGCTCTGTGTTACCAGAAATACAGTGCTTGACTCGCAGTGGTTTAGGCTTTAAATGACAGTCTACTAAATAAGCAACTTGTAAATATTTTCTTATGCATTTAGTTTAATATTCTGAGAATTTTAAAAGAGCTTATTCATCATCATGAATATTTACATTTTGAGGAGAGCATTAAAAGTGGGCGACTCGATGTGTTCTGCCGTCGCGTAAGTTATACAATAGTTTCCGGATTCTTTTTCCTCACAAAGTTGTTAGCTCTAAAGAGTAGTCATTGTGCTTGTCTGTTTCTTTAAATAGAGCGACCACATTTCTTTTGCTTTCACTTTCTTCTCAACACCAGCAGAGACACAAGAGAGACGAACGAAGGAAGCTGTGGCTTCGTGCACTGAACCGCTCTAAGTGCACGCGGCGGTACCTCCGCTCTCCGGGGTAATTCCTTCCAGGAGACGATTCGAGCTCTGAGACGGTTGAAAACCGAGGCACGGTTTCCCATAGAAAGTAACGCAAAATGGGTGAATCCGTCCCAGACCTTTAAAATCAGCCCCTAAGACAACAATTTATCATGAATTTTACTGCCTAATGATACCACAGATCCATAAAATGACGCACAATGAAAGCAATAAACACAATATGCTGTACTGTAAAAGCAATAATAAAGAAACACAATGTAAAAACAGTGCTGCAGAGGATAAAAATGAAAATGTGATTTTTTCTTACCTGCAAGGATGATAGTCATGGTTTGGACGGGCTCACAGCAGGTGACTGCCGCTCAGGTGTCTGTGGCCTCTTCCAGAATCACTGTAGGTCGCTCCTCTCCTGCCATTTCCTTCCCTTGATTTTTACACCACGGTCACCTGGCTCAGACTCACTGGATCTTTTCCTCACTAAAAATTTTTCCGTTGATGTTTGCTTTTTCCGATGTTTTAAAATTTGTCTAAAGTGAGACACAGCATTATCATTGACAGTGTTAGTGGCATGACTTACAGCAGCTTTATCAGGGTGATATTTTTCAACAAAATTTGCACTTCAACCCATTTTGCACACGTTTCTCTGATCAGAGCAATAGAAAGACTTTCTCTTCCCTCCTCCTCTGAAGACAGTTCCTCAGTTGCCACCCGTTGTTGCTCTGTCAGAATGTCTGGAAGTTCTTCTGGGGCGAGTTCTGTCCTGTGGTCCCCACTGACCCCTCCACGTCATCGCTACTCACTTCCAAGCCCGTGGACTGTCCCAGAGACACAGTATCCTCAGCAACAGGAGCACCCTCCTCAACACCCTCAAATGCACGTTCAGGGACAGCTTCTGGCCACAGTTTCTTCCATGCTGACCTCACTGTTCTGTGAGACACATCCCTCCTTGCTTTGCCTATGAGATGTAAGCAATGTGGGATATTGAAATGATTCTTCCAGAACTCTCTGAAAGTTAGTTCTGTGTCTGAGGTCATCTCAAAGCACCTTTGGAACAGTGCTTTGGTGTAAAGCTTCTTAAAATTAGATATGACCTGCTGGTCCATGGGCTGGATGAGTGGAGTTGTGTTGGGCAAAATCTTTACATTGATAAAGCTGAGCTCTTCCATCAACTCGTCCTCCCAGCCTGGAGGGTGAGCTGGGGCATTATCCATGCCGAGCAGGCACTTCATTGGAAGATTTCTGTCTTGGACGTATTTTTTTACACTTGACCCAAACACTTCATGAACCCACTCAATAAAAAAT